GCAGGAGGTTGGGAAGCGTATCTGTAACCGGAAGGTCGCCGGTTCAATCCCCGGGCTCTCTGTCCTGGTCGTTGTGTCCTTGGGCAAGACACTTTACTCTACCGCCTACTGGTGTTGGCCAGAGGGGCCGATGGCGCGATATAGCAGCCTTGCTTCTGTCAGTCTGCCCCAGGGCAGCTGTGGCTACAACTGTAGCTTGCCTCCACCAGTGAATGAATAATGGAATTGTAAAGCGCTTTGGGTGCCTTGAAAAGCACTATATTATTATTAATATACATTATTATTATTATTGTGTAGAGGTTTGGGGAAATACATATAAAAGTAATATTCAGACTATAATCATAATGCAGAAAAGGGCCATTAGACTAATAAATCAGGAGGGGTATAGGGCTCACACAAACGCACTCTTTATTAAGACGCAAGCTATAAAATTCCAGGATCTGGTGAAGTTTAAAACAGTGCAAATAATATATAAGGCAAGGAAAGGGATGCTCCCAATCGAAATAAGTAAATAGTTCTTAGAAAGAGAAGGGAGGTATAATTTTAGAGGGAAGTGGAATTTAAAATTACAAAGAGTAAGAACAACATTGAAAAGGATGTCTATTTCAATAGCGGGAGTTAAAAGAAGGAATGAGTTAAAAGAAGGAATAAAGGTCAGTAGTGATATAAACCAGTTAAAAATAAAACTCAAAAAAGAAATTTTAAATAAGTATAAGAATGAAGAAAATGCAATTAACCCAAGACAGCAGTCAAACTGATGTTTATTTTCTTCTGCAAATTAGCAAATCTAAATATAGTTTTAGTTGAACATGAGAAAATATTTTTTTTGTGATGTTATGTTCTAAGTTGAAGTCGTTGTATACGTTTTTGTTGCTCAAATTTATATGATGAGGATGTAAACCTGAGGGGGTAGGGCTAAATAAGTATATACTTCTGCCTACTCCTTTTCAAACAACTGCATGGAATGATTTTATGAAACGTTGGTGAATGTATATGTTTGAAATAAAAAAGAACTGAACTGAACTGAAAATGAATTAGTAAGCAAGTTATTTTCTCCATGACAGCATATTTAATCAGGAGTAGCAGTTACTCTGACGATTTGTGCTTTGCATTAAACATTTCAGAGTTTGTCTAGTCCCAACAAAACAGCACACAACAAAGTGATTTTGTCATCTCTGTGTTTAATCACGCAGAGAAAAGAAAGCTTTTCTCATGAATGTTTGAGCTGAGATTTACATAAAAGGACATGAATTTATTAGTTTATTAGCTTGTGTGTGTGTGTGTGTGTGTGTGTGTGTGTGTGTGTGTGTGTGTGTGTGTGATTGGCTCACTAACATTATCTTCTTTTACCTTGACATTATAGCTGAAAGTTCACCTCTATGGAATAAAATGTTCATTAGCCTCTAGAGAAGATCTTTGTAAGGCTTTTCTTAAAAGAGGACATTAATTAGAATTGTGGATAGTTTATGGATTCAAAGTCAATACATTTTTAAACAAGATTTTAAAATTAAGACAGCAAAGGGGGAGATATTACACTTTGCTTTCTGCAAATTCTTTTTCTTGGCACCCGAGTTAATCGTAAAGTAACTCAAGAGCTCAGAGCTTTCATCAGAGATTTGGGAGTGCTACTGGTGACTAACAAAAACCACCAGTTTGCCAATGGCAGCATATTAAACTGTCTTGGTTCTTCTCTCACTGCTCTTAACTCCAGCCTCCATCCTTCTATTCTCCATTTATCCACCAGATGCCCTCAGATTTGCTTCCGGATCCTCCTTATTAACACCCGTAAAGGCTGATCTTCAGCTTTACCACGCACCTGCTTCCCACTCAGTCATCGTCTCCTCAGTATAAACCAGCCAGATTTGCCAGATTGTTGTCCCTCATGTCCTCGCATCCGCCTTTATTAAATGTCCTATTGAAGTCACTTTGATTCATCCTACTGCTTCTTTGTTTGTCTGACTTTCATGTATTTTCTTTCACCTATGAGACTAATATATGCACAGGGTCAGAGTGTACTAATACATTTCTGCTTAAGATAAAACTTCTCATTTAAGCTGTTGAGAATCTTAGGCAATGACTGGTGTCAATTTGGCAGCCAAGGCAGGAAAACTAGACAGTGGCTCAATGCACTTGAGTTGGAAGTTAGGATTTAAGATACTTAGAAACAGCCGACTACAAAACATGCAAACTCATCTGTGAAAAAGAAGTGGATTGCAGGGGGCACCTAGCAACAATCAGGGCTTGCAGTTTACTCAACTATATTTCCACCTCACTGGTGAGGAAGTGTTGTGATTTTGCAGTATTGCAAAAGAAGAAGCATTAACTAAGTAAACTCATACCTGTCAAATGTCTGGTAGGAGATTTCTTGGTGACCAGTGACACTCAACACAAACATGATACTTATTAGTCTGAGTGGGATTTATTTTCTGTACACTTTGAATAGACAATTTATGCAAAGGGCAACTGAAGTTGATGGCAATATCACTCGTTTCACTGCTATTTGATCCACAAAAACTATCACAGATATTTTTTGATTAATAATTGTGTCACCTCACAAAATGTTTGCCTTGATGCTAGAATATGAAGGGATCATTGAAGATATTGGTCACATGATGATCCAAAGTGGTGGGATAACAAAAAGTGCCATTTGTCAGAACCCTCAGCAATCCAACCTCATACAAAAATTCAAATTCCCAGTTTGCTTCTGTTTACTGTTAGGCTTAGCAATTTCATTAAAGCTGAGAGGAGCCATTTCTCTTATTTGTACTGATTTTCAAAACAATTTAAAAAATGTCCCTCAGGTGATTTTTATTTCAGCTGCACACCTGTGGATACACTTGGTGTTTCAAAGGGGATTAAATTACTGTTTTTATATTGATATTCAGCATCTTTGTACATAGAACTGCTTTGAAAAAGCTACATATTTACAGTAGAAAACATCATTGCAAAAAAAAACCTGATCATTGGGTTCACTGGGTGGATTTGATGCCAGGAATTGCACTCTATATTGTGTAATCCAAAAAAAACAAACTAGAGGGATCTGAACTGGTGTGGTCTGCTCCATGGTTTCATTCTTTTGGCACTTTGAGTTATACACAGTGATAATCAAGAAGGTGAGAGTTGGTTTGGGGAATAAATGAGGCTTAAGAAAATGCTACTTTTATAAATAAAGCCTCAGTGTGACATAAGAATTCGCTTTGTGAATAAACACAGTGAAATTTCATGTATGTGAGCAAGTGTTGTTTATGGAATAAGACGACTCCACCGAGGAGATGCCAGAGTTTAATGTGACTCTATAATACAAGCGGCACTGCATAAGACACAATCAAAAGCCTGAATATATTTCAGAATACAATCCAGATATCAATATACTTAAAAGAGAGTTATATAATTGTTTTGTCAGATTTTGATTTTATATCACGGCTGTTTTAATACAGGAATCAGAGTCAAAAAGCAAACCATACTAAACAAAATGCACTACAAGTTGTACAAATGGGTGTCTCTCCAGAAACTTACAGTTAGAAAGAATTACATTTATTGCATTTCCTCACAAAATGGTATGTGCATACATTTGGTTTTACCATACTGTTTTTAATTCCATTTTTATTTATTAGGCAAAACATTTTACTGAGCATGGAGTAGATGAATTTTGAAAAAAAAAAGAAAGAAAGTTTAATCCATAAATCTACATTTCAAAATGAAAATAAAACATGTAAGAAAATAGCCGTCACATTACAGTTACAGTATATTCATTGTACTCATGAAACAGTAAATACCAAAGGGAACAAAGGGATAAAATTCTCATAGAGCCTAGAAATGAAAAGAGCTCACAGCGTTAGCAGTAATAATAAAAAGTACACAAATAAAGCAGAATAAAAGCTGGAACCACTTAGTCTGTATACTCTGATCTTCTTCTCCTGTACTTAGATATGCCTAAACATATGATTAATATTGATCAGTAGTCTATAATTATTGAAACAGTTATACTGTAATTTGGGGACTGCAATAAAAAGTGATATCAAACTGAAAATACATTCTTGATTAAAAAGAAAAATGTTGTTCATTAACTCTTTTTACGGAAATCAGTAGCTATGTTCCCTACACCATCAGGATGTGGTTTCCACGCATGTCCTATTAAAAAAAAAAGAAAGAAAGAAAGAAAGAAAGAAAGAAAGAAAGAAAGAAAGAAAAGATCCTGAGTCCTTTGTGGGTATAATTATCTGTGCAGTCAGCAATACAGTGAGCAAAGTCATCAACTGCACCTCTGTCAGAAAAAGCCTCGACTCTCACATCTAAGAGCCTCACTGAGAGCGAGGGCAAGACTTGGATGACCCTGATTATTTGCTGTTCTCAGGAGAAAGATGGTGTTGTGGACTAAAATCTTAAGCAGAGTATTTGTGGTTACAGAAAATACCGAGCTGTACTGTATTTAAAGCTCTCATCTTGTGTAGTTTAAATTATTTTGTTGCACTGAGATAAAGCTGCTATACGGTGATTTGGCACATCACATATATTGTACAACATTAAAATTCTTCATTTCCATTGTTCTGTTATTTTCTTGGTTACAAAGATGGCTACCAGGAAAAGTACAACAAGCATCGGTACATTCAACAGCCAGGCTGATTGATACAGCACAACACAATCTGAAAACTGTTTACGTAGCATCATAAGCAAGTACAGCAAGATTTCCAAAGACATATGTGAATATAAGCTTTAGCTTTTAGTATTTACAACCAAATGTAATTATAAAATACATGGTTTCTCAAGCAGAGTGGAACTTAAATAGTAGGTCTTTTATTTTTAATCTACAGTGATGAAAGACCATCAGCAGGGATGGACAGCTTACTTGAAAAATGTTACTCATTTAATACTCATGTATATGATCCTTGTCAAGAGTGCAGTTAAGATGTACCTTATTTAACAACCCCAAAACACACACAGTGATGCATTACAACTTAAATATGTAGAAAAACAATTTTTTAGATTTAAAAAAAAATCTTTTAGTTCCAGTCGTTCATATTTTTTCCTCAATGGGAGGTACAGCAGACTATTTGCCACCCACAAACAGATGGCTGTGATACTGACCACAAACTCCAGAGGTCAATTACACAAAAATATTGTCTGTAGTCGTATGAAATTTGCTTTAAGATGACTATAAAGCATGTTTGATAGTTCAATCAATTCAAAATAGGCTCTTAAACCCTAAAGATGGACCACGGGGATTACAATCAAGCCATTGCCAAACAAGTTCAGACAATGCTGATTTAGTCTATAGGCACCTATAGTTTCCTAGTAAACTAGTTTTGGCACTGGTTTTAATTCTCAACCTGGTGTCTGTAACAACAGACAAAATAAAGAAAAGTTATCCACTACAGAGTTAAATATTAGCCAACTTTCATTCAACTTAACTTGAAACAAAATTGTATGTTTCCATGATATTAGTGAGTCATGCTTGCTAATCTTTTAAAAAATTGCATTTTTGGTTGTTCAGTCAGCCATGTTTTCAACTTGAAAGTAGTACTAATTTACCTAGAATTCACAAGCACATTAGGACTATTAAAGACCTTCATATCCTAGACTCTTTTTATGAAACAAAAGAGTAGCTTTTTAGAGTTATTGCGCCATAATCACACTCCTGTCTTGGTAAAACCATTGTTTGCTTTCACTGTCCAGGTTTTCAGGGTTAGCATTAGCATACCAAGCTAAAAGTAGTTAGCAACACGTAAACTGGGCTTAAATGTGTCTAGTTTATGACATGTAATTTGTAGAAACAGTTTTGGATGTAGCTAGCAGCCACCTGTTTTAGAAACAGCTAGCTAAGACGAGCTCATTCAAGCTAGCTCAGCTAGCATGTTATCCTATACCTCTTTCATCACTAAAGAAACAAAATCAACATCAGAAAACTGGCAATGACCTGCCATCTTGTTCTAATAAGATGGCAAAACAACCACTGGATCAGATGCATGAATTTTGTGATCCTTTACTACTTCTTCATTGAATAATCCAAATCCTGCAAAATCATACAAGTATTTATTTATTTTTTTAAACAGACTGAATACAGGTATATATGTGTTGCTTCTTTTAATGCAACTCTTATTTTTTTATGAAAAATTTCCACTTATTGGACCTGCACCAATATTGTTTTTCTTTTCCTCATGCAGAGTTTTAAATTCATTGATTTGAATAAACTCACTTTCTACACTTTCTAGGTCACTGTCGAAGAAGGATGACTTTTTCTCAGTTTCAGACGGGTTTTTTTTCCATCAGTGATGACATGTACAGTAGCAATCACAGCCAGATCAAAGAGGGAGTAATCGTGTCCTGCAGCCACTGGTGCCTTATCCCCTCTAGTCCAGGTGAAATTAACAGCGCTTATGTGGAATATTACAGCTTTAGCGATATCCATGCGGCCATAAGTACCTTCATCAAAAACACACACCCACTCATATCTGATGACTTGCAATGACTTTGGGTGTGGCAGCTGTAAGTCAAACATTTGTGCAGTTAGTTGAGGGCGGCGTATCCGCTTTGCTACGAATGTCCTTGATGTCATTGAGCGGGGAGTCACTGGTTCCAATCTGGCATTTAAACACCTGCTTATAGGCCTTTCTGAAGTTCTCGGACAGGAAGGCATAGATGACCGGGTTGACTGATGAATTGCTGTACGCCAGGCAGTGTGCAGCCACCCGCAATACAAAGGAGGCTTGGTTTAGTGGGAAGGTCCCAAACTCCACCCAGAGGTGAACTACATGATGAGGGAGCCACGACAGGCAGAACACCACCACCACCACAAGCACCGTCTGAGCAGTCTGGGATCCACAAAGGAAAGGGAAAAAGGTAAGATTTTGTCAGTGTCCACAAGGATAACAAATACAGAATTTAATATTCTATTTAGGCTTGAAGTCTTGTTTACGATAGAAGAATAAAGCTTGGAAAATCATTGATGAGATAGTGGCATGTTTGGGACCAATCTGCATTGTGAAAATTGTGTGAGATCATTAACATCCTATAATCAAGTCCCTGTCCTCCAGTAGAAGTCTTTGAGACCATGCTCATTTTTAAGTATGCATTGCTCGAGAAACATTATGAGTTATTTTTGCTAACCAATATCTTAGATTTTAGCAGCAGTATGCATATCACTGCATTCTTATCTCTGCATCAGCAATGGAAGTGTGTGGAGAGATCTGTCAGACAGTCCATTGACAGCAAGTGAAAGAGAGAGAGAGTAAGCAGGCTCTGGCTTCAGGCCAAACTAAAGTGCGCTTCAGGAGACTTTGGATATCCAACAACTCCGAAGATAATGGATTAATATTCTTTTTTGATATGCCATTTTTCTTTGGCCTGAGGATCAAGGAGCTCATCACACATCAATAAACCTTCTCATACCCCCATTTACATTTAATCATTTTAGATTTTAACAGTAAATACTGAGAACTGATAATATTATGATCCCATACCACAGATTTATTTTTTACATGTGAATCATATGTAATAATAAATAGACTCAAATCCTTAATTAATCAACATTACATAAGTGACTTTTAACATCTCTACATGCACATTAGGGTGATTCCTATTTGCAAATGCTACGTGTTATTTTTGTTAGGTTTACTCAGTAGCATGGCAATGTGGCATACTTATTTAATTCATATATCTCATGACAGCTGTGTTGACTGTTTTGTTCTTCTGTATTACAGCTGTTTTCCCCAAAAAAGTTAAGAGAGTTTTGAACATATTTACCAATTAGAAAACAATCAACTTAAGCACAGTGCCCAAGGCAAATAGTGCGTGAGCAGTGGATTAAGCTAATAAAAACTGGTATGAACAAAAACAGCAGAGCTGAACTTAGACATCTGTTTAAATACTTTCAAGTACGGCCTAAAAACCTTGAAAAAGCAGACGTACTGTAAATGCCTTTTCACTTGACACTTAATGAGTCACTGGTGGCATTTCATCCACAATCTGTGTCATAAACACATTTCTGTATCTACTGACAAAACCTGTAAAATGATGTGACAGTTATCATAAATCAAATTTACATAATATCCAAGAACAAGAAATTAAACGATGTTATTCTTCCTACAAACAAAAAAAAGGAAGAAAAACTAATTACATGCTTCTTGATTTGCTGAGGTAGTAAGAAGATTTATTGCAGGGCTAATTACTTCTCATCAAAGATAACGGAAATATTAAAAAAATCCTGAATCAGGAATTCAGCTTTCCAAGTTTTGATGGGTATAAGTTAGAAATAATATTTAGCCAACTATCTGAGCATGTAGCTGTCAGAAGTAACAAAGCTGATGTTAAGTGTAAAGTGAAAATATTCCCAACTAAATGAATAGGAGTGCACAGATTTTCACCTCATTGGAGAGCATTCTGAGATGCAGTAAAGCCTAATATGTCATTTCCTTGTATGACAACTATGCAATCTACAGGGTTTTAAAAACATTTTTATGGCAAGCACAAAAAATGTCAGAAAGTTGCTAAATCAGCTGACTGTAAGGTCTCGATGGTAACCTAATTGTTTTGGTGTTGTAGATTTCAGCATTGCTGTTTGGTTCAGTCTAAAAAGGCACAATCTGTAAAGCAGAAAAATGACACCAATGAAGAAGTGCCAAAAACTGAAGTTCAGCACGGTGCCACTTGGCTCCAAAAAGCAAGTCTTTCGCCACAGACTCCTGTTTTGAAATGCTCAACTTTACAGCATTAAAAAGTATAATTACAGCCTATTAAAAAAGACAACTCTGAGTGGGGTGAACGTTTGTAGAATTTTTAATGGATTATCTGTGTAATTATGGCTTGCTGTGTGGAAATGTGTGCCGTGTGTGTATTACTTAGCAAAAATGTGTTGCTAGCATAGAGTTTAGCTTGCTATCCAAATTAACGTGTTTGCTATTAAAGCAACAGTTCATACTCTCATCTAAATGTGGTGCTTTTGATCCAAAAAAAAAAGCTAGCATGACTGCAAAATGCAGAGTTTTAAACCAAATAGTGATATCACGGTGGACATGTCTTTTGGTTGGTAGTAGCAGCAGGCAGCAGTATTCACGGGCGCTAAAAGAACGCTGCTGTGTGCATCGTTAGAATCGCTGTTAGGAACTTATGAGCAAAGTGATGGAGTCAAACATTCCAGCCACTAACCTGACTCCAGATACTGTTCAGTGCTGGTGGTTGTGTGTATAGGCAAGATGTTCACATGAGCGACTTTAGAGTATAATGCTATTTTATGTGGCTAATATTTGTGTGGTCTAATGAAATGCCCTGCAATCCCTATTTAACTGTAACAAAATAAAGTACTGCATTGATAAATTATAATAAATATAGTTATATATATAATATAGTAAAAATATTTTACCAATCACATGATAGGTAAACATTTTTGACTTGATACAAGTTAGCACTGGCCAGAGAAATCTTTCTGACTCCAACACAACTACACACATAGACACAAAGACACGGTGACTATGAACAGGTTCTCACAGTTTTAGTGCAGTAGTTCAGTAAAAGCAGGGTTGTGTTTGAATGGTGTCCATAAAGCATTCACATCTTCCCCTAAACCCACAGAGAGGCAGTTGTTAGGTTATTGTAAACGACTGCAGCAGAAACACCTTCTGTCATAAACGTTTAGCTCATCACTCAAGAACTGATTTACCTAACAACCCAAAAGTAATTCTTTCGAGTTTTTAAAGTCAAAAATGGACACCAAGATGACTTTTCTTCAAAGAGAAACACAAGAAAAACTGTTATCATGTTGGGAAATTATCATTTGGCAAGTTTGTGCTACATTTTTGATACTTCCACAACTAATCATCACTAGGAATCAAAAAATATCATTTAGATTTACAGTTTTCTGCAGCTCTTTTAAATGTTCATTCAACATTGTTCTCATTACTCCCGAAGTCACTGGGAAATTACTGCATGCTGTTGGGTGTCAGACAATTAATTCAGTCTCCCAGGCTTCAGATATGCATGTTACAGCCTACACACGTTCTTAAATAATTTCAGAATGACTTGGCCAAACATTTATTTTTGTAATTATCTATAACCATCTGTGTTTTCCATCTGCATAACAGACTTAAACTCCTAAGATTTAACACTGCTTACTGCATGGCTTCTCAACCTCAGATTTAAAACAGAGAAAAAATCCAGACACATATAATCAGAAAGGATTTGTAGCATATATGTGACACATATATAAAAAATCAACTCTAACAACCTTGTAAAGACCTTGCAGAAAAGAAAGGTTCATATTCCCTATGGTTTGCTAGATTTGGGTGTTGACAGTGTGTGGTGTTGTGACTTTTGAAGGCTGTGTGATTCCTCCTCTGGGAGACTGAAGTCGATAAGAACATTGGTTGTATTTCACAACAGCCATGGGAGCAACCTTGGTCTTCCCAGCTGCTTTTAACAATATATTTCACAGGCCTGACAGAGAGCAGCTGAGACCTAAGTTAAACCCATTTCTGCACAAATTCCCTTTGCTTTCACCAGATGCAATTTATTATTTTTACCTGTTGATTTTCATCTTTTATGGAGGGAAACCGTTGATAATATGTCTGTGTGCTAATAGTATGAAAAAGAAGATTAGAACCAGAATGTCAGTCGGATTTTTGCTCATCTGGCTCATCAGGATTTGATATGTTTTAGACGTAATGGATTTATTAAGCATTTTGAAAAATATGCAGATTTTCAGTCTTGTACAGTACACTGATATGACTCTGATACCTCTCAGTTATAGCCTACAACCCAGAAAAAGTGGGGAACAGCTAAGTTCACCAATTCATTTTATTGGGGTGTTATTTGTGGGATTATTTTTGACAGGCAGTAAGATGGAGACAACAGGATGTCCTGAAATGGTCTGCTCTTACATTATACCATCCATGCCATCACTTCTTATTCACAGATTAAACCTTCAGGTCAGCTTTCAAGTTGTAATTGTGAGCCTGAGAAATTTGGTGTTTTTTGGACAAAACAGTAAGGTTCATAATTTACTGGACAAAGATGCATTTTTTTTTTAGTTTTGCCTCTGTAAACCACCATAGTTAATATGTGACTGAAGTACAAACCTACATCTTTAATTCAAGAGTCTGTGTGTTCCCAGTCATCAAAGTCATGGTAGTCTAGGCCCTTGAAAAGAAGAAGCCTCGTGGATGAGAGGTGAGGCATCTTCGAAAAACTAAAATAAGTCCAGTCGCTGTCTTTTTCAAGCTCCTTGGACTTTAATTCAAGAGGTTTAACTTGACCCCAGAGGGTTAGCATGAACTGAGGACTGTTTTAAATAGAATAAGAATTGCAGTGACTGCCTGAAGTCTAGAACTCATGGACATCATGTCTTCCTCCTTTGAGATGCTTTATATTTATTTCAACCACCTTCAGTTGCTGCTTGTTTGTGGGTCTTTTTGTATTCAGTCTAGCATTTATGAACAAAAAACACTGCTCAACTTGGTCGACCTCAGTTACTCCGTTGGCATTTGAAGAACATTCCATGTCTGGGACTTTAGAAACTTGGATTGCTTTGCAGCTTTGGCTTATAATATATTGGCACTTTGATTGTTTTTGCAGCATTTTGCTGAATCTGACCAGAGAGTTCGCTTCATAATTCATCCTCCTACTTCTATCAGCGGTCATGTCATCAATAAACACCAGTGACACATTTCTACTGACAACCATAAGTTGTCTCCACCAAGTTTTTACAGATAGTGCTGTATGCTTCACATCATGAGCTGCTTCTTTCGTTCTCCATACTGCTCACTTGAGGTTATCCTGGTACAACTTCATCTTCATTTCATCTCTCCAAAGATTTTTTTCCCTGAACTTTGCAGACTCTTGTAGATGTTTTCTGGCAAAGTCTAATCTGGTCCTCCAGTCCTTGTAGTGTAGCCAGTGGTAAATCTTCTATTATTGCATTAATGAAGGCGTACCAAACTCTTTGAGAGTGTTCTTTAATTGGTTAGATTATGCAAAGTAATTTATCTTAACCCCACACAGAATTTTGCCATCATGAACTTTAGTTATCTTCTGTTCTTTCAGTGTTGCTGAGCTGGCCAGTGCATTCATTCTTTTGAAAAATGAACCAGATTATTGTTTTGGCCTCTCTTCAAGTTTTTTGCTATCTCTCTGAGAGGTTTATTTTGTTTTTTGGCCTCCCTTGCCAAACATCTAACATCGCCTTAGATCTCATATTAAAAATACAGTGAAAAGCTATCAACTATAAATTCAACACTTTGAATCAACTTTAGATATTGTCCATCCATCCATCCAGATAATGTGTCTGCTTCTTTTTTCATGAAAACCAAGGTAACGCTACTTACCTTCTCAGTCAATTGTCCAAATACTTTAGAGCCTCTGAAAATGGGACACTGTGTATATAAATTGCTGTAGTTCCTTAACCAGTAAATTATCATTTTTACAAAGCTTCTTGAATTAAAGCTTAAAGTCTGCACTTCAATCATATCTGTTTGAATTAAAATCCACTGTGGTTTATTTGTCTAACAAAGTATAGACCCAACAGTATGTGCTACTTTGTTATATGAATTATGTTTTCAATAAATCTGTGGGAAAATATCTGCAAAGCCCCCATAGTTTTAATTCATAACCCAGTTTATACTGTTACGACAGGAAAGAAGTTCATTAGCACTGTATGCAGGTAATAGCAGCTTCCAGTATTTACTGTATGTTGAGATAAGCTAAGCCACCTCCTCGCTGTATTTTTAAAGGACTGATAAGAGATTTTTTTAATTAAATCAAGAAAGCTGTAAAGCATATTTCCCAGCACTCCAAGCTACACGTGTCAGTCCAAAAATTGTTTTCTCTTGAAAGTGTGTTTCATTTAGTGTCTGCCATTTCACACCATAAGAGGAAAGACAAAGAAGTGTAAGTAGCTTAAATCCCTCTAACCTGTTTGTAGATTAAATGATAGAAATAAAAGTAATTGAACAGGGGTGTCGAACTCCAGGCCTCAAGGGCCGGTGTCCTGCAGGTTTTAGATATCACCCTGGGTCAGCACACCTGAATCAAATGATTAGTTCATTACCAGGCATCTGGAGAACTTCAAGACATGTCGAGGAGGTAACTTAGTCATTTAAATCAGCTGTGTTGGATCAAGGACTCATCTAAAACCTGCAGGACATCGACCCTCGAGGCCTGGAGTTCAACACCTCTGACCTAGAGGGACTGTAGGTTATTACTAAACACTTATCCTAAGACGCACTGGACTAATCAGAGAGATACTGCCAAGGAAACACAAAACATGCGTATTCATCAAAAGTCCATACAAATGTTCCAGTTTTCAGTATAAAATTCTCATCTTTGTCAGTTTTACACCGGCTTGTATTTTTCCTCACTGCAGCTGCTGATTCCCTCTGAAAGTGTGTAAAAATGCTCTCTTCTAACATTCATTTTAGTCTCTCAGTACCTGCAAACATAATTTATGTATTACAGGGTTTAATGATTTATTGACCGACCATTTATCACAAAGTTACTGGTGTGACAATCTCTTCCAGGACTCCCCGCATAGCAAACACAATAAATCATCAGAACATCAGAAATTCCCGATTCACTTTCCACAGTTGTTTAGGTTTCAGGTCATAAAAGCATGTTTCTAGAGAAGTACGCACGAAAGCACATGTAAATCCTCATCGGTCCATCTCCCCAACTGACTGGGAGTCTGTACTCCTGGCTTTGTAACATTGTAAGCAGTTATCAGATGCTGTGACATATAACAGACAGACAGACGTATCGGTAATCAAGTAGGCGACTGCAGATAGCTACTGTCAGGAAAGTCAAATGACCTCCAGAGAGTATGATAGTCTAGATGGCAGTTTGATTGTGCATTACCTTTTGGCCATCAAGCTCAAGTGCACCAGTTAATAGTACACATAAACAATATTGCATTTATATTTATTATTCTGGCTACAAGGGAGAGTCGGAGGTAATGATTTGGTATATGGCAGGCTATTCCTGCACCAAATTATAGCTGCTGGACTGTGGTCGGCCAAATACTTGAGTGAATTCTTATTCACTCAAAAAAAATTAATGCATAAACTATCAATGGCTATACTATAATGGCTATTCCCCAACCACCCAACACATCGCTATGATACGTACCTTTTTCTTTGATGCCTCTGACTTTTTGGACATATTTCTTAGTTTTTTGTGCAAGTGATTTAACACCTGTAAACAAGGGATACAGAAGTCAAATGTACATTTCTTTAGCAGTAATTCCTCTAATTATATTACTGACCCGTGTAAACAGCCTTTTCTTACCTTTGCATAACAGAAAGAAATAAGCAGCAGAGGCAGCACATAACCAAAGATAAACGTGCAAACCACATAGATCTTCTTCTGGTTCTGATCCGGCCACACTTCCCAGCAAAAGGTGTGATTTTCCCCTCTCTGAAAAATATTCTGGTAATACATGATAGGCGCAGCCATGGCCAGGGAGAGTATCCAAATCACCACCACACCAATAAGAGCGTGCTTCGCCACCCGAATAGAGGACGACTTTCTGGAGTGAACGATGGCAATGTATCGGTCCACTGACATAGCGGACAGGGTGAAGATGCTGACCAGCATAGAAACAGTGAAGAAGTAGTGGATAAATTTGCAAATAAACGCACCGAGCACCCAAGTGGGCATCATGTAGATAGTGGACTGGAAAGGGATGCAGAAGAGCAAGTAAGACAGGTCTGCTATGCTTAGGTTCAGGATGAATATGTTGGTGGTGCTTCGAGGTTTTCCCGGTTTGCTCCGGGCCAGCACGGTGATCACCATGGAGTTGCCTAGCACGCCGAGCGTAAAGATGAGCCCGAAAACCAGAAGCGTGATGAAATTATCCGTGCCGATCCCGAATAAAAGTTTCTCGTCCTCCTCCTCCACACGGCTAAGGTTCCAGGGCTCTTCCAAGAGCCAAACAGAGTCTGTCAAGTTCATTATTTATTCTTTGCTCTTCGGATTAAGTTAAAAGGTAAGCAAAGGCACCTGCAGCTGGTCTGTGCTGCTTCATTGCACGGAATTTTCTGGACAAGGGTTTATGGTCAGGTGCGTTTCCATCAGCGTTCCTGCAGACAGTATTGTTGCTCTCCTGTGTCTTTGTGTCGAGACTTCCCCCCTCTTAGCTTTCTATATTATATTTGTGTATATTTCAAAGCGATCTCGGTTTTTGTGCAGCGTTAAATAAGCTTTGCAGCTGCGCGTTTTGGAGTCGCTCTCCCGGCGCGCACCTGACCTGAGCGCGCAGCGACCGCGCCGATCCAGTCTGTTGCTTCTTTCTCCGCGTCGGGACTTTTTCCTCTCAGATTAGAGCGGGGGCTGGGCTCTGCCGCTGCACGTCAGCATCAATACCACCTCCCAAGAAATGGGGGGAGAGAGAGCGAGAGAGAGAGAGAGAGAGAATTAATGGAATACTGTATATTCTACGTGTTTCCGAAACCATCACATTAAAACTGAATGTCAAAGTAATTTTCCTTGTCAGATTCAGTTTGTTTGTGATACTTTACGGCCAAGGTGCAAATGCTGCTCTGATCACAGGGCTGGTCTGTCAAATGTGCAATAAACCACAAAACAATATCGTTCGCCAGCCATGGTGTGATTGTCTTAAATGGCTTTTATCATAGAAAGAAAATAAACTACAGAAACATGTTATAACAAATGGTACTTGGTTCCAGCGTCATTTTTATAATGTCTGCCTTATTTCACCCAGTAACGCATTGAAAAGGAAACGTACATTCTGATGCACTTTTCTGATTAGGAAAGCTCTCATTTGTCTTATTTGACCAGTTTTTAAGTTTTGGTTACTCAATAATATGAACAATAATCAAATCACAAGCAGACGAAGATTGTTTAGCAGATGTTGACCTTGGTGTGCATGTGTGTGTGTGTTCCCTCAGATTGTGGTGATCCCTCAGAAGACTTGGGGAGTCTTCTTTTAAATCCAAGTTGACAAGAATGTCATGCATGAATTGTTGACTTATTGTTCTGTGAATAACATGGCGGAAAAGCGACTAAAAATACATTATGGAAATAACACAGGGGCACGCTGACTTTTTTCCCTCTAAATTGCAACAGTGAAAGTAAATTAAGAAATACCAGCCAATTTCCAAGAGTCCAAAGTGACATTTTCAAGTCGCTCGAGTTGTCTTGCAAGCAGCAATCAAAAACTAGAAGATGCGCTGTGTACTATTAAAAAAAGCAACAACAGAAATGCTGCAAATTCTTGAAAGAGAAAAGCAGTTTGACCGTTTTATTTTTTCCAGTAAAACTGCAAAATATCAGCCATTCTGCTAATAAATGTAACCACTAATCTCCAGCTCTACTCAGGATTTTTAGGATTTGCTCTTAATCTATAGAAATGTATTATTGTTGAGCACTACAGGTGAATCTCAGTGCATTTTAACCATGCATGCTCAGTCATCCTTACCCGAATGATTGAGCATGCATACAACCAGTTAATGAGCTCAAAGACCCTTAACCAGATTTGTACCTGATGTGAATTGCTTTAAATAAAGAATAAGTCTACCATGGTGATCCTTACCCTCGTGCTGATTAGGAAAATGGATTTTACTGTGGCGCCTTTTTAATTCACTCTGTAATAAGTCAGCTGTTTGCACATGTGATTTTGCAAATTGTTGCTTGTTTATAGGTGAAGTAGCTTCAATATAGCAATATCGTTCATTTGGAGCCACATTTGGAGCTTCCTGGAATCTTTAAATTAAATCATTCAGACATTTTTTCCTTTCTGCAAGCTCCCGTGGGAACTTTTTATACAAAGCCAATTGCAAAAACGTTGCGAAAATGTTTCCAAAAATGTAATTAAAAACAGAATCCAGGAACATATCAGCCTATTTTAAATTTCATGACTGTGTATTTCATGTGTGTTTTTACAAACTTTAGACAGGGTCATGTTTACCACTGTGTAGCATTCACTCTTCTTTTAACAACATAGACATTTGGGAACTAAAGAGACCAGCTGCTTGACTTTTGGGAGAGAAATGTTATCCTATTCATGTCCGATACAGGATTATAGCTCCTGGAGCTTCTTTGTTGTGTTTTCCTTTTCATCATGCTCCAAATGTTTTCAGTTGGTGAAAGGTCTGGACTGCAGGCAGGCCAGTTCCTCACTTTTAACTTTTCTGGTATAAAGACACGCTGTTGTGATAGATGCAGTGTGCAGTTTAGCATTGTTTTTCTCAAATATGCAAAGCCTTCCCAGAAAAATCCCCACACTATCAGAGATGTGGGCTTGTTAAAAAGCTGGACGGCCAATCTTTGCTTTAATCCAGAAGACCATTTATTCATGTTTTCCAAAAGCAATTTCAAATTTTGAGCACAGAGCAGTATTTCTCTCTGCCTAAGTCCATTTTAAGTGAACCTAGCAGCATGATCTTTATATAAGGCTTCTTCTTTGCATGACAGAACTTTAACCTGCATTTGTGGATGGCATGGAGATTTGTGTTCACAGACAGGGATTTCTGGAATTGTTCCTGCACCCCTGCAGTCATGTCCATGTTTTCAATGTAGTACTGCCTGAGGGGCCAAAGATCACTGGCATCCAATACTGACTTTCAGCTTTGTCCCTTGTGTATACAGAGATTTCTCCAGGTTCAAAACACTAGACGTATTTGCAATTTTACATTGGGAAACATTATTTTGAAATTATTCCAAAATATTATTCCGTAAAATTTAGATGTAGTTCTTTTTTTTTTCCTTTTATTAAGAGTGATGAACCTCTGCCTCTTTAAGATGCTCTTTTTATACCCAGTCATCTTACTGGCCTGTTAGACATTTGAGAAGTTTTCTATGTTCTCTTACGAATGAATAAAATACATGCTTGTGAGATTTAGAAATCAATGCATTGTGTTGTTTATATTTTACACTGTCTTTAAACTTTTTGGGAACTGGATTTGTAATACACTGTGTTACTGTTTGCCTTTATTTGATTTTCAAAGACACAGACAGGAAACATTCAGCAAGAAACCACTTCTGGCATCAGCCTCAAATCCTGAAGGAACTAGAGATTTTCTTGGAAATATGGCCATCCTTTTTGATCTCAGCTACACATCTGCAGAGTGTTATTACTGCATCCTGCACAGCTTGACATTACTGTGTTAGCAAGTAGGCACCGACAGAAATCAAGACGGACCTTTGCTGAAGCATGCTAAATCTTTGAATTGGACATATGGCTGCGTTGTGTCAAAGTCATTTGTTTACAGTCTTTGTAATTAGTTTATTGCTATCAAATGCAGCAGGTTAAATTGGCAGCATATTTGTTTCACGATGCTGTTAAGCTACTTGAAAGGTTACTTGCATCCATCTAACTCTACAGCAATCTGCCGCCCCTGCCTTGAATGTCAGGCAGCCTTTGTTTAAATCCAGTTTGCTGCCTTCACCTGACATATTTCATAACGTGGACAAACGGGGTTTTTTTCTTTTTTTTAAAAAATGCATTTACATCATGTTCTGCTGGTAGAGCGTTTCCTTGTGGACAGTGATTGCTTCCCTGTCAGAGAGTAAAGTCTTTTTTCCTGTCTATTATTTGCCTTTCTTCTTCTCTCCTGACAGCCTTTGGCGTTGGTTTTGTGCTCCGTTACCCTGAGCTGTGTTAGAAAATGAAATGCTCATGGGTTTATCGAGCTCTTCCGGCAGCAGCAGCAAGGCGGGTGAAAGGCGTAGATGAGGACAGGTCAAGGTGGAATAACTCCGTACTTTCTGCTCCTGCCAGACTTTCAGACCCTCACAAGTGCAACTCGACGCTCGGCGTGCCTCCCGGTGAACAGTAACTGGTGAGGCCGCAAGCAGAATGGAGTGCACTCACATCTCAACAGACATTCAATTTGGGCGTGATTCAATTGCATGTGACCTCTGAATGCTCAAAATAATTGTTTTTTAAAGGTCAGGCGCAAAACAAGCAGTACAAAGCAAACAGACACAAGAGTATTTCAGTGTAATAAAACATATCATTTGTGTGTATGCTATTAATATTTTGGATATTGTATCAACTGTGTGCTGCTAAAGGGCCTGGCAAACAGACTTAAACGTGTTTTTTAGACCTTAAGAAATCAACAACATTCGTTTTGGTGACAATAATGAATGTAAAATCCCATTAGACGGCTCTAACTTTAACAGACGCCTGTGTTTTGGTACCAGGCTTTAGGGGGCTTAATGACAAATTACAAAAAAATAAAAAATAAAAAGAATGGTCACAATCAAAAGCAGCAGAGGCCTTTTAGCCCTCGTTTGTGTCCCACTGACTCACAGAGGATGGTGTATTCAGGCTGTACAGAATTCATGCATGCTGCTGTTCCATGCAAATCTCTGCTGGAGGTGAAGCTTTTTGCTTGATTTGCTTGATATTTTAGAGCACAGGTTGTGTAGGGGCTTCCAATGAGTAGAGCGTGCCTATTTTTATGAATTAGAAACACTGCATCTGACTCTTAGCTCTTCCTGAAATGAACTGGGCATGCTTGAGAGCAAGGGGAAGGATAGATTTCAAGCATCATTGCTCTATCAGATATTGGCAAAAAGGAAAAGGCTGTTATCAGTTATTGAGGATTTCAGGAGTTAGGGCTGGAAGTAATGCAGTCTTTTCATTACTTTTATTGCTGAACTATTACAGACAGCTTTACGAAAATCTTGAGGTAATGTGTGTGAAGACTGGTGTAAGACTCACAATAAATTGGCTTTTTAACACGCTGAATGGTGAATTTGAGGAACCAGCTATCTAACAGTAGCTATTAGCCTGTTAGTCAGACATTGCCTAAGATGAGTTTTTTTAAAGTAATTTGAATTTTACCATGCATGAGCATTGTGGTGGCTTCTGTGTGTGAGATCTTATCTCTTCTTCTTCCCTTGTACGTAATTAAACCTAACAGGGTGAATCCAGGTAATATTTAATATCAATCAGGTTTCTTGGAACTCATTTTCCAAAGTGTAGAGATAAAGTAGAGCTGCTTGTATAATGAGACTTTGTGCCCTTTGGGTGGTAACCTTGTTAGCCTGACCATTCAGAATGAATTCAGCATTTCCCCCCTCATACCTTTGGTTATGAAAGAATTGAAGCTTTTTCTGAAAATAGATTGGTTAAT